TTTGAAAGATAAAACAATACGGTTTTGTTTTAGTTGTGACAAGAGCGTTTACTTGGCGCCTTTTTTTTACCTTTTTTAAAAAGGTAATTTTTGATAGATTGTATCATTTCATTTTTTTAATCTAATCCTGGAATAGCGTACAAACTGCGACTGCTCTCATAAAAGTATTATATACATATAAAGCAAGATAAAAATTATAATTTTTGCTTCTTACTATAAAAAGACAATCTCGTTGATCAATCAAAACTTGATAAAACATATGTAGCCTGCCTTTTTTACTTCTTTCTCACCAACATTGTTGAAATGTTATCCTCTCTATATAAAAAATAAAGATTATCTATATAACATCCATGTAAAAGCAAAAAAAAAATAGATATAGTTATTCATACAACTACGCATACCCATCTTTCTTATTGAATAGAGCTCTGTCATATATACTTTAACCAACCAAGGAAATAAAATCACACCTCGATAACCAAAAACTCTGTGTAAAATCAACAACACATATATATACACTTATTTCACTTAATATGAATTTCTAACAAATTTGGTCACTCGCACTACACTGCTCTGGATAAGCAGTCTTAAGTGTGCATAGTGCGAGTGGCGAAATTTGTTAGACCGAATTCACTATTATTACTTTTTTTTTATTTTAACACTTTCAATATACCAACATTATTGTATACTTCTAGATATATACTTCTAGAGCATCGCGTGCAGGCGACATACGAGCGCAATGGGTTAAATGTTCCGGCGGGACGAAGCAAGGTGTACTTTTTTATACCTGTGGGGGGGCCTCGCAGAAGGGGCCCGCCCACATCGCAGCGTGAGGGGGCCTTCCCGCTTCCTCTCGGCCGCCGAAATCTCCGATCTGTCGGGTTCGATAAGACCGCCGACCGGATATTTATTATTTGTAATTTACATGACGAGGTACGCCTCGTTAAATCGTTAAGTCAGGGGCTAGAAAGCAAATTTTCACGCACGGCAGGCGAAATTTACGTGTAATATCCGCTTGGATTAATGCTGGTTAAACGAATTTAGAGATTTGGCATGCAATATGATAATCTGTACATTTCTATTTATTTAATAAAATAGTTATTTAAATTCCTTGTGAAGAAAACAGGAGAGAGAAAGAGAAAAATATTCTATAATAGTAAAATAAAGATATATGTGCAAGCGTGTAATAAAATCAGCACTGAAAGAGAGACTCTGAATGCACACTAAAAAAAAAATACCTTCGCCCAGTCATTAGAAATGTATAAATGCTAATAGATTTTCACTTTTCAGAGAGTGTGAGAAAATCTCGAAGAAGCGTGTTCGAGTATTCGCTGACGCAGGGAGAAAGGATAAAAAAAAATCCAGATGAAGCAGGATAGGAGCAAAACGAGAGAGGGACAGAGACGCGCTGTCTGGCCACTCTATAATTTGTCGGGGTGAGTTACCGCCCTTGTCTTTGCTTAACGCTGGCCGTTCGTTCGTTCGGTTCTCTCTCTCGCCGGTGATGCTATCGGCGCATACCTCGCTAGACAGGTGGCCACCCCGTGACACCCACACACGCGCGATGCGTCCGAGCGCGAGGATGCATCGGTCAGAATTCGGCGCTCTTTATTCCGCGCGCACGACGAACGGCGAGTGATGCGCTAACGCAGATAAAGCTCACTCCGCTCCATCCGCGTCGCGTTGTCATGTATATATTATGTAATGCGCGCGGCGTATACCGATTGCAGACATGCCTTTGAAAAATCTGCAAAGCGAGCGTGACTCGTAATTTGCAATGCTTGCATGATCCACAGTCATACTTGCCAAATAAATTTACATATTTCTTATTCCAATAAAATGTTAGGCGATCCCGATATGTATTTACGATACATAAAAAGAAATCTACAATCGGAAGATAAACAGCGTATATTCCGAAAGATCTCAGAAAAATGATTTGTGAAAGAAGAAGCATATATATTGTAATTTAGGGCCAGTGACTTGAAGATAATACCATTCTTTGAGAAGACAACAAACGATAACAGCATACTATTATTTCTTCCTCTTTTAGAAAGAGGAATCTTTTATTAAGTTACAAGATGATGTGTGTGTGTGTGTGTGTGTGTGCGCTTCGCGGGAGAGTTTCCATTTCAAGTTAGCGCGATGCCTGTCGCGTCTGCGTTCGATCGCCAGGCGATAGAGTTAAGATCGAGGGTTCGAGCACGGTAGTTCGCACCCGGTGGAAACCGTCTGTGTGGTCTGCATGGGTTCCTACCATCCGTTTCGAGCCCCCTTCCCCCCGCCGCCCTTCTCTCTCTCTTCCGAGCGCTTCGCCAACGATGACGTTAGTAACACGATATCTGCCCCATCCGCGGCCCGCAGACGGCTTCCATACAGATGTTCCAAAGGGAATAGGACCGAGGTGGCGTACCATTATCCGTTTATGGAACCACGGTGACGCCCAGTGCCGATAACGGTAATCAGTTTTGCGGTACGCGCGACGAATCGGCGACGATTCGATGCATCGCTCGCGCGAGTGCGTGCCGACCGGTTGCACCCGACGTGAGATCACGTTAACCCACGTCGGCTTTAGATGACTGAATGTGAAACTAAACAAACAATTTTTTCCAGCGCTTTTTAAATGCTGCGATGCGAATTATAACTTTTCAATATTTTCTTAAATATTATATAACGCAAATCACACGGAGCAGCTTATTGCTGCGATCGAATCGTATTGTTGCAATTTTTTCTCGCAAAGAATACTGTTTGCGAAAGACACAGGAGCTAATAACTTCCTGCTTCCGACTGTCATTGACACCTACACATTTCCGACAATCACGTTTTACGCGCGCGACACACATAGGAAAGCTGCACTCGCTCGTCATCGATCGTCTCGACGATAACGCGAGACGGTCGTTTCGAGAGGACATTAGACATTCGAGCGCAGGCC